TTCTACTCTCTGCTCCTGAGTTTAAGATACCTCATCTAAGTGGAATCATGCAGAATTTGATTCTTTCAGGTTGTCATGTATGGCAGCATCTCCTTTTTCTTAAAAAAAAAAAAATATTCCATTATGTTTACCAAAATAATCACATTTTCTTTATCCAGTCATCCACTGATAGACACTCATATCTTGGCTGTTGTAAATAATGCTGCAATAAACATAGGTGTGCAGATATCTCTTTGAGATACTAATTTCTTTTTGATATATACCTAAGGTGGGATTACTAGGTCACATGGTAATCCTACTCTTCACTTTTTTTTTTTTTTTTTGGTACTGGGGATTGAACTCGGGTCCTTGAGTTTGCGGAGCAGATGGCGAAAACACTGAGCTAAATCCCTGGCCTATTTCACTTTTTGAGGAGCCTCGTTGCTGTGGTCCATGGTGGTATAGCCAAAATATACACCCACCCAAATGTACAAGAGTTTTAATTTTTCTGCCTCCTCACCAACCATTGTTATCTTTTGTCTCTCTCTTTTTTTGGGGTGGGGGTATAGCAGCCATCTTAACAGGTGTAAGGTAATACTTCATTGTGGTTTTCATTTGCATTTCTCTGATGATTAGTGATGTTGAACGTCTTTTCATGTATCTGTTGATCATTTAAATATCTTTATTGGATAAATGTCTGTTCAAGTCCTTTGCCCATTTTTCGATCAGGTTTTTGAGTTAAATTGTCCTTTTAAAGAACTCTCCTTGGTTACCTGTTTGGGCATCACTTATGTGTTTTGCTAGGACTCTGACCAGCAGGCAGCATGATCACCAGCTCAGGAGACAGAGCACGTCGGAAGCCCAGTTCCACCCATGCTGCAGCTTCTTGAGGGGGACCCTGAGCCTCTGGGTTGGGCTGCAGGTGTTGGTAAAGGTGGGTTTGACCTCTTTTCCAGGTAGGGCCATGGGCTTCCTTATCGTGTTCCAGGTAGCCCCTCCTCATCTTTTGTTGCAAGAAAACCTGCTTGCATTGAGAAGCCCACATTCTGGGCACACGTATTGGGTGCCCAGATGGTGCCTGTATTTACAAAAGCCCAGCATACTGACAGGACCTGCAGACACATGGATAAATATTTTGCCTTTCTTCTTAGGCAATATTTGAATCTTTCAGATTTAATTGCTGTCAAAGGCAGGATGTTATAATCCCCAATGCAAAGCAAACAGTGAGGGCCTCCAGTGGGCTGTTCCTGCTGCCCCAGGCAGGTCTCCTGGCTGTCACCATTGCCTGCTCCCTGGTTTCTTGCTAAGGGTCAAGGGGCCTCTTCCCTCATTGGCTGGGTGGGCTGCAGGTGCAGGGGCTCAGGAAGTTGACTGTAGATTTCTGGGAGCCTGTGACAACTTGTTGAGTTTGTGTTGAGGCTGAGAGAGCCTGCCCTTAGCTGAGAAATCAGGCACTTTTCTCAGATACAGTGACAGGTACAAATCTGGCCATCACCAGTGAAATCCGGTTTTGTGCTCCAAGGCTGGGTCCAGGAAATGTTTTGTTTGATCTTGAAATGATTGCATGTAGGATGGTGGCTAGTTCATATGGCACTGTTGTGCAAATTAGATAAAGGAGTCCCTTCTGGCAGAGGCAGTCCTGACCTCCACCTCACCAAGGTACAAGGCTTGGCCAAGAGAGCAGCAGCTGGATCTCAGCAACCAAGTATTCAGGAAATGCCTTTGTATAGCAACACAACCTGCCCAGCTGGACCTGTGCAAGACAATTCCTGATGGTATTCTTGTTACAGCCTTCTACTATTGCTTTCTTATTTCTTTTCTACCTTCCCCCACTCTTTTTTTTCCCCCAAACCATTGACTTAGTTGCCCCTTGGATTACTTTTGCTCAGTGCAGTGAGACACTGTTCTGTGATCATATGGGGTTTCTTTTACCTCACTGTGATTGATTGTCTCTCCTTACATTGTCCAGATGGGGAAGAGGTGTCGTCTGTAGGCTCCCTGAGTTCTGCAGCGATTATCTCCTTTCACTGATTACATTTTCTTTGCCTCAATTATTTTCCTTGCATGTAATAAAAACAATTGGTTTCTTTGCCACCATGGCCTTACCAAGGGCATCTCATATTATTCACGCTTTCCTTTGGAGCACTTGGAATAGGTGCTTACCTTGTGTTGGGGGCTGGGAGATAAAGATAAATGAATAAGACAACGTCCCTGTCCTTGAGAAACTCATAATCTAGAGGGGGAGTGAGGCATGTAAACAGATAAATCACAGCCCATGGGTGCATTGGGTGCATAAGGAGGAGGCTCAGGGGAGCAGGAGGGGAGGAGGGAGCAGCCCAGATGAGTGTTCCTGCTGGGTGCTGCTGGGCACCTCCTAGATGCAAGGAAGGCTTTCCTGGGAGCTGCCATTTGAGCTCCCTCTAAGGACAATCAGTGTCCTCAGGGAGACAGGCAGGGAGGAGCCTAGAGACAGCTATGAAGGGATGTGGCACACTCAGGGTATAGTGGGAAGGTTCCCCGGGCAGCAGCCTGTGGGGGGTGGGAAGGCTGGGGCCAAAGGGGAGCTGGAGTGGAGCTTGGGGGCTTCATGCCTGAGCAGTGTGGGGTTTCTCCTGTGTGTACAAAGGCCAGTGGAGGCCTATGAGCAGAGGATGGCTCCAGAAAGAGAGGCTTTCTGGAGTGGTTGAACAACCCTGGGTTCTAATCCTGGTGTGGTCACTTCCTTAGGCAGGTCACTTAATCTTCTTGAGTAAGTGGAGCTTTCCTATTTTTGAAACAGGGATGGTGATAACAGCAACTCCTTTATGGAGTCTCCCAGTGGTGGGACAAGTATGACCCCAGAAATGGGTTCCAAGTGTATTTGGAATGCTGGTTCCTTCGGTTGTCAGGGAGTCTGGACTGGGGCTGCCTTTTCTGTTTATTCCAGGGTGTCTTCTAAATATCCTCTCTGTGAGCCTCATGATGTGTAAAGCAGGTACCACTGGTTTCTAAAGCAGTTGGCAAGTTTCTCCTACTTGGTAAGTTTCCACTAAATGTGGCTGTTTATTGAGATACGTCACTGTAGTCACGCATCACTTAACGATGGAGACACACTGAGAAATCTACTGTTAGATGGTTTTGGCACTGTGTGAACATTGCAGCATGTACTTTCACAGATGAGAATGGCTGTGACATCACCAGGGGATGCCATCTTAGGGGACTACTGTCATATTTAGCCTCGCTTTGGAAAGTCATTATGATGCACATCACTGCATTAGGACAGCTACCATGGAGAAAGTGGGGACTGCGAGGAGGCACCAGACTTCAGGGACATTTCTGGAGTAGTACTGACAGAATTTACTGACCAGCTGATGTCAGCAAGAGAGGGCACCATTAGGGAGGAGGAGGAGGAGGCATTGGGGATGCTGGTATAGCCTGGAAGTGATGCTATTCATGGAATTTGTGATGAATTTAAAGTGTGCAGGCTTGAGGGGTGGGTTTGAGTTGAAGAAGTGGACTCTGGTAGATACTTTTTCACAAACTCCAGCAAGTCAAGAAAGTAGGATGATGGGTGGAGGTGAGGGAGGAGGTGTGCTTGGGGGAAGCTGGGGGACCTGTGAGAGGCTTCAGAGGGTTTGTGGGCTAAGAGGACAGACACAGAGTTTGACAAACTAAAGATACAGGGAAAGAGTGTAGACCACTTTTCAAAGAGACTTTTGTCTCTTTGGAGAGAGTCTGTCCCATTTGAGGAAGGTCTGCCAATACCTGGAAACTAGGCAGTTGTTCAGATATAATTTACAATAAGGCATCAGTTTCCCAAGGCACGCCATCTAAATTATTGCACTTCACCAATTGGCAGGTTCCCTCCTGACAGTGGGGTGGGGTGAGGTCAAACAATTCAATCGGGTGCCGCCAGTTATAAATTGAAAATCAGTGGGGTGCAAAATGGATTACCATCAAAATCCATTCAGGTGCAAAACCAAATTTCAGAACCCCTAACCTTTAAAAATCACTCCTTTCCTGATTCTTCACAGTGCCCTGACATTGAGTTGTAATATTCTCCAGATACAAGCAATTGTCAATAGCAATGCCTGGAGGAGACCAAATGTAACAAGGAAGGAACTCTGAATCAGGTCTTTCTTTTGGAATTTGCAAACAGGGGCGAGTTGTGAATTGATACATTGGTAATTGTGTTAGAGTCTCTAAAGCAGCAGTTCTCAAACTGAAGTACACAACAGAATCACCTGGAAGGCTTAATAAACCTCAGCTGGGCTTTACCTTGGAGTTTTTGGCTTTGGGAAGACTGGGCTTGGGCCTGAGAAGTTGCATGTCTAGGAAGTTCCTGGGGAACGTTGATGCTGATTGTCCTGTGACCACACTTTGAGAATCTCTGCCCTAAGATAGTAATTGGACTGGCAAAGTATGCTTTGATTTAATAATGATACATTGGACCAAGTGTTGAGTTAAGGTGCCACAATTTTGTCCAAGAAGCCTGAGCCTAGTTCAAAGAGAGAGAGATTGATTTGAGTACTTTGTGGTCAGAGGTGAGGTTGGAGAGGATTGCAGAGGGATGGAGAGGGAAAAAGGGAAGAAATTTTCCCCAACCCAGCTCCCTATGTAGAAGACTAAAGTGCAACATTTCTACTAAAAGAGCAAACGATAGCATGAAGGCCAAGCCTACTCTTTCTTGGTCCTTGGGTGGAAAATGTTAATGTTTTTTGACACCAGACTTCTTTCAACTTGAGAGCTGATTTTTGTTAAGGATGTTAGAGAAACATGGGTACCCCCCTTTTTCAGTGCTAGCTTCTAGCAGCCTAAACTTTGGCTCTTTCCACGTCTACATGATCTCAGAGATGTATTTTTTAAAAAATAAATCAAAGGTCTCTTCCTCTTTTTGAGCCAAAGTTACTGTCTTATATAAACTAGGGGTCACCAGGCCAAGGATGAAACAAGTCCCTTTCTCCAGGTTGGTAAAATGGATCCCAGAGCTGCTGCAGACATGGTTGCAATGTCATTAACATTCGGTTCCCTTGCTTTTCCAGGAGAAATTGAGCGATGCACATACATCAAGTACCACTACTCCTCAGCAACCATCCCCAGGAACCTCACATTCAACATCACGAAGACCATCCGTCAGGACGAGTGGCATGCCCTGCGTAAGTACACCTCAGTTGCTCTGGCTGTGACTGTGCGTGATGTCACCTCTGGAGGGCTTGGGGGACTGGATTCTCTGCCTTCTGGGATTGTGTACAGACTCAGGACATTGTACTGGATCCTCCAATATTAATGGGTCAGAATTTCCTCAGTAACTTTTGATTGAATTATAGCTCTGGGGGGCTTGCTTCTAAAAAAAAAGCAATACTCAAACCGAAACTAAAAACAAAAACCAAATCACTGGCAGTCAGATAACGATCTTATTGCCCTATCTTGGTAGGCATGTAAAGTTTCACCTACCCCACTGTACTTGCTTGTGGGATTTGACTTCAGCTGTCTCCAAGTTGCTAGGAATATTATTGTGGCAACCTGTTAGTGCCTCCAGTTGTCATCTACCGTGGTTGCAGGCTGTATTACTGTGGGGATTTGCACCAGCGTAGGGCACAAAGGGGGTAGATCTTGCCTCCACCACAAGTCTCCAATGATGGCCTTTAGGCCTCAGCTCACCTGTAATTGCTTAACACAGATCAGAATCCGAATTTGTGCCTACTGGTTAAGGAATTTCTCGGCCAGGGGATAGTTAGGACTTAAATTGCAGTAAGAGGGTGACTTAATGAGCCAACCGAGTCCCCTGGCTATTTTTACTTTCTGCCCTGTGGGGATCCGCTGCCTGTCTGTGGCAGAAGAGCTCCCCCTCTTTGCTGGTACAGATCTTCTTGCTGACCCATTTGTCCTGTGAGTAAGTGCCTTGTTTCTTCTCTTGCACTGGTCAGATGTTCCTTTTCTTTCTTTCTTTTTTTTTTTCCACTCAACAGCCCAAGGTGAAGGTTCAGTTTACATTCATAGGCAAAGAAGCTTTTGTTTCTTGATATTAGGAATCCCTTAAGTGATGAAATTGAAGAAGGCAGTTTTTCAAGCCAAAATGTCTTTCTGTATTGTTGCTTAGTTTTATTTGCATGTGTGGGATTCACTTTTTGGTTTGACTTTAATGAACCATCCATAGCCTGGGGTGGGGAGTGGGGAATTGTGAAAGACAAGAAAAATTAAACAAAACACAACTGTCATTCACTGGTTTCAGGAAAAACTTTGGGTGTCCAGATGATTGTTACCCAGTGCTTCTGGCCTGCAATCATAGAGCAAGTGCCAGCAGATGGGTTGGCATTAACCAGACTGCTGCCCCTACAAGCTATAGCCATTACTATAGACACCAGCACACGGGAACAAAGAGCTTAAAGAGCATTCCAGTGTGCTTGACATTGAGCCAAGCATGCCACATCCTTATTTAATTTTAATATGAGATTTGCCTTAGAGACTAATCATTGGGGGTTTTAATTTCTTTATGGAGGTAGATATGTAAAGACTCAAATATAGAAATAAATGACAATTGCTTATTTCCTGCAATATATTGGCCTAGTATAGTAACTCAATAGGAACCTAAAAGATATATATATATATATTTTTGGTACCTGGGATCGAATTCAGGTCCTTGCACTTGCAAGGCAGACACGGTGCCACTGAGCTAAATCCCTGGCCCCCTAAAAGAGATTTTTAATACAGATACAGAAGTCTTGTTGATTAGCCACTTAACTATAATAGATTATGGGGTTCCTAAAAGGATTCAGAATCTAAGAAGAAAGAAATTATTGACATCGCAGTTTCAATTCAAATGAACTTAATTTAACCAAGGCTACCGAGTTTCTCTAAGTGCCAGACACCGTGGATACCAAGGCCACTGGGAGCTCTTTTAAGGAGCTTGAGTTGGGGGGTGGAGAAGGGTGGGTGTGGAGAGAGACAATCACAAAGCAAATAATTACAAGGCAATGAGGTAATTACAATATAGGAGAATTGCTTCAAGCAATTAAGATGGTTTGTGGAATTTTCAGCAAGGAGAACTATTTTGGTGTCAAGTGCACAGATATACTTTAAGGGAAAGCTGGTAGAATTCTCCTGGCTATACACCCTGAATATGTCTGGAATGCAAAGAGTTCACCCAACAAATCATCACTGGAAACATGTCACAGGGCATCAGCAAAGACAAAGAGGGCTCTTTGAGCCTTGTATGTCTCTAGGGAGCTCATAATCCAATTGTAGTGCTGTTGGGTCCTGAAAAATTTAATGTGTAGCTTATGCTGTGAACTGGGGTGCTAACAGGTCTATTTTTAACTGATAAAATCATCACAACGGTTGATATATGTAAAGGTCTCTGGCACATGGTGTTGGGTAAATTGATGCTACTCTTTGGTGAGGGATTCATCTGCCTCTTTCTCAAAATTGTCTAATGGGCTATTAAACTGGCAGAGAGCATTTGCCATTCTGAATTCCATGACAGCTATTTTGAGCCAGAGGGCAGGTGAACATCTGTCACAAGTGAAGCTGGTACTAAGTGTGACTGGGAATGCTGGCATGATGGGGAAGGACAATAAGTGTCCACATTAATTTTCAAAGGTCAAGTGTTGATGACATTAGGTAGGAAGTGGGCACAGAAACCCCTTTTAACATAAAGTGGCAGCAATTAAAGATGAGCAGACTCCTATTATCAGGCATTGAAAATGAAAAAAAACCCCAAATCTGATTTCTTTGCTTGTTTTGAGAGTTCTGAATTCTTTAATACTCTGAGATCAAATGAATAAATTCATTTGATATTAAGTTATCATTTTATAATTTGATCTTAATATCTTACTTTTCTCAGTTGATTCATTTTTGCCCAAGGAAAGCAATTTGAGTTTGTCTTTTGTGAAACAATTTCTGGCAAGTATTTGGATTTTGGTTAACCTCGGATTATATTCTTTTCATCAGGAATTTGCATGTGATCTGATCATCAACCATTGTTGTGGGGAAAATGTTTTCAAATAGGAAGAAGCACAATTTGGTTTAAAACTATGTTTTTTGGAAAGTTAAGCCCACCAATGGGAGGCTTACTTGCAGAGCTGCGAGCCCGTGAGCAGCTGAAATCACTGAGACTTGCAGATCCAAGTGTAAAGAGTTAAGCTTCAGGGGTCGTAGAGGCTGGAGGATCAAACCTGAGCATGTATGTATGTATGTATGTGTATGCATGTGTATGTATATGTATGTGGGGAGTAGAGGGGTGGCCTTTGTGCCTGAGGTTCAAGTGCTGAGCTCTCTGGATGAGTTGAGGACAAGGTTCTGACACTGGTGTGGGTGACAGTTACTGGAGAGGCATGGTAGGTACCTGTTTCTTCTTCCCACCCTAGAAGAAGGCAGAAGTCCTACCTGAGCGAGGATCTATGTCCTCAGTCCACCCAGGCCCAGCTGTCCACTGCTGCTTTCTCACCCATTGCTGCATGTGTGTGGCAGGGGTGGGACAGGTACCTCCATGGGCTCCTCACCCAGCTCTTCCTGCCCTCTCCAGGGTTAGGGTTAGTGTTACTGGCCAGTGAGGAGGGAACAGGCAGCCTTGCATTTGGATTGGTTGAATGCTTTGAACGTGACAGAAGCTGATTTTAAGTGGCTGGAATGGCCAGGGAAGCTGGCTGGCACTGCAGGGGCACTTTCAGTGGCACTGTTCCTTCTTCTGACTACTACATGTCCCCACAGGCTTTTAACAACTCTTATTTCAGCCTGAGGTGGCTGCACTTGTTTGGAGAATTGTGTGTCCTCAAGCAATGCCCAAGAGCCCCAAGCCCATCCTGAGTGCCTTTGCCTTTGTCCTTTATGGCACAGTGTCCTGTGGTCTACAGCCTGGACACTTGCTCATTGCAGGGCAAGGGCAGATGGGTGGAAGAGGCTGGGTGGCTGGTGACTAAGACCAGGCAGCCAGGGTGGGCTGGCAGAACTGTGGTAACAGAGCCTGTCTGAAGCTGCAGGCAGACACTTGCAGGAAGGCATGTGAAGGGCCTTCCTTGCCCCGTCTCCTGATCTGCTCAGCAGGGACTCAGTGGGTAGCTGTGGCCAAGCTTCCCAGCTGGATTCCCGAGACTCGTCACTGTGTCTGTGAGCTCCAGTTTCTCATTCCACTTTGCCTGGGCGAGATGGAGATTTGAGCTCACAGTTGATTGCTGCTGGACGTGAGACTCACAGAGCTGAGTCTCCACTTTGCTGTGATCAGATCTGTTATCTTTTGAGAGGCTATGAGCCAAGAAAGCTAGAGGTTTTTTTTGGAAGCCTGATCTGGATGGTCACGTGGCACACTTCCAGCTGGGGGAAGGGAGAGAGATGGTTTCTCTCCTGGCTTCCCTGCCCCGACCACACCCAACACAGGCTTGCTCAAGGTTGCCACCTTGGCTTGGATGGCGATTTCTGGAAAGGCACCTGCTGGGCACCCTGGAGCAGCTGCCTCTGTCCACAGCATGGGGCTCCCACACCTCTGCCTCACCCAGTGCTCATGTTACCAGCAGGGCAGAGAACATGTGTGCTGAGAAGCCACCGTGAAGCTGGGTGCAGGGATTGTAGGAAAAGTCAAGGCTAGCTAGAAGAGAGGTGGTGAAGTGAGGGGTGAGGAAGATGGAGATGGAGACGGACTTTGTGGATGAGCAAGGGCATTTTGGTGGACCCAAAGAGGGACAAGAGGTCATAGCCCAGGATGTTTTGCTTGCTGTAGATGGATGCCTGAAAGCTTTTGCAGCTCCTGGAACCTCTTATCTCTGACTCTTGCCTGCAGGTTAGCTCAGTCTTGGGGACCGGTCCCACCAACTTGTATGTGACTAGAAGCCCATGAATCCTGCTGCTCTAGTGTGGATCATGGTGTAGAACTCGTACTTCATCCTGCTTGGCCAAGCCCTACCTGGTCTCCCTCATCTGGCCAATTCTATGCCCACTTCCTTACTCTTTTGCTTTCTAGAATTAGAGGGTCCTGCACTGAACCCCATCTCTCCAGTGCTGTTTAGACTCTCTCCAGACACCCCAGGTCCTGCCTACCTCTTGGACCCCAGCTGGCTCCTTGTCCCTCTCCCCACTGGCATGGACTTTCTTGCTTTGGACTTCTGTTGGTTCTTTGCCCGATAGCACCTGCCCTCCCTTTTCCGGGGGACTAACCTGAGAGTTC